CCTTTTAAAAAAGGATGTGGACTAATTTGCTTATTAATTATTATTTAAGGCATAACATTAAAGTCTTATTTTCCAATTTTTTTCCATTAATAATTGCTCCTTTAAAAAAAAAAAAATACATCCAACTTCCTAGTTAAGTTCCATTTTCATGATTAATAATGGTAAATATAAATTTTCATTGAATAATAATTTTGTTTTTATAAATTTTAATATTTTTTGTAACCATATCATGTTACAATGTGACAAGTAAAATAAAATTTTCATGTGTCCTCTCATGTTGTATTTGGTAGGGAGCAAAACCAATTTAACCCTAACCCTTTTTAATGCAAACCATATGGGTTCCTCATGGTCACAAATCCTACTATTTTGATTTTAAATCAAAGGTATTTTTTAATGAAGGTCATTTCACCAACTGACTAAAAATTCACATGTAAAAGACTTTTTCATTATTTGTGAAGGTTCATATCATATAACACCTCTATTTTCCCACTATATATATATTCATACTTTTATCACTTATCTTTTAAATTTTGAATTTATACATAATAGGTAAAAATTTGATGTATTCCTTTAACTTTTAGTAATTTACTTCCCTAACTTTCGAAATAATTAAATAAAATCCTTATATGCTATATTTATTGAGATTTTTTTTTCCTTTCTCGTTAGATACAAAGATGATGTTTACGACCGTGTCTGGTTTCATCAGACCTTTCCTAAAGCGCGTTTAATCCAAAATATGGAAAACATCGATATCCAAGCCAGTAACAATAACTATGGAATTCCAACAGAGGTTCTGAGAATGGCTACACAGCCACTGAATGGCTGGAACTCATTGAATTATTCGTACATTATGCTACCAGAAGACTCTTCAAGGGAATTATATGTGTACTTTCACTTTGCTGAGATTGTAAATACCACAAAAGGTCAACTGCGAGAAATCTTCATTACTTTGAATGGTGTGAAGTTAGCACCGATTACTCTTGAATACTTGAAACCACAAAGCATAGGACCGCAGAATTTTTCAATGAAAGGATATGTCAACTTTTCAATTGATGCAACGGTAGAGTCTAATCTTCCACCCCTTCTCAATGCCTTCGAGATTTATATGGATGTTAATTTCTCCGAATCACCAACGAATGCTATGGACGGTATGATTTGTGTTCTTTTATTTCTTTTTAATAATCTATTTTTTTTAGCTATACAACAATGGGATGGCTCTGTCATTCACTTATGCCTCTCCACCTGTCCAAACGTTCCAATTTTGAGATCGCCAGAGAGGTTTTTTTTTTTAAATCTTATTGATACATAATTAATGATATATTGCGTTATTTTAATTTGGTATGTTATTATTGAAACATTGCAGTTGATGCAATCAAGGACATCAAGCAAACGTACAAGATAAGTAGAGATGACTGGCAAGGAGACCCGTGTGTCCCAAAAAGATATGTGTGGAGTGGTTTGTACTGCAGTTCCGGGAATTCTCCAAGGATTATCTCTCTGTAAGAAATTTTGTAAAATTATCTAATCCCAAATCTGACAGAATCTACTTTTTAAAAAGAGCTTCAAGCGGATAACAAATTAATTTTTACCTTTGAATTTAATCCTATCTCTGCGTTAAATATCCCTATCTTCTTCAATGAATTACAAACAGGAATTTGAGGTCAAGTAACTTACAAGGGATTATTTCTTCTTCTTTCTTCAATCTCACGGCATTAGAGACTCTGTAAGTAGTATGGTAGTGTGATTGTTATATTAAAATTTTGTTCGGAATTTTTCATTACCAAACTTGTCTTTTACCATTTTCAGGGACTTATCAAATAATGAACTGATGGGGCCAGTGCCGGAATTTTTAGCACAACTACCAAACTTGAAAGTCCTGTATGTTGCTTTCACTAATTTTCTGTTTTTCCTTTTCGGAGTTATACAGATTAATCTTCTTTTTGGCACATTTTCACTTCAGCTATTTATCTGGAAACAAGCTCAAAGGACAGATTCCCCTAGCTTTAAAGGAGAAGTCTAATAAGGGAACTTTGCAACTAAGGTTTGATTTCATTTCTTTGCCATAATGCCAATCATCCAACTTACATTCAGTCCTTTTTAAGGTCAAATTTTGAACGTATCTTGGTAACAATCATCTGGTGCTTTCTCAAGGACATATTTTTTCATATTAGCCAATTCTAATTATAACACAACTTCAAGAAAATAAGTATTCAAGTTATTGACGATTACTATGCCATAAAATCTAACTATTTCTCCTTGTACTTAATCACACAGCTTGGATGAAAATCCTGACCTATGCCGGACAGATGCTTGTGAAAATAACAATAAGAGGGTGGTTCTTCCCATTGTTGCTTCTACTGTTTCAATTGTAGCCCTTCTTATCTTCTTGAGTGTTCTACTCATCATTTGCAAAATTAAAAAGAGAAGACAAAAAGGTAACCTCATTGTCGAAAGGTAAAGCATTTTCCGGTGCCTGTGTTTGTCTTGAAATATGCTAGTTTTCATTGCTTTTATTAGGGGCCAAATTAAAGGAGGAGCAGTCAATGAAATCAAAGAATAGGACCTTTACTTACTCCCAGATTGCTGACATAACTTCAAATTTCACAATGGTTATTGGGGAAGGCGGATTTGGAAAAGTTTACCTTGGCACCTTGACTGATGGCACTCATGTTGCTGTTAAGGTTCTATCATCATCATCAAAGCAAGGCTATAGGGAATTTCGAGCAGAGGTTCGATTACTGCAACCATTTTTCTTAATACTCTTATAACAAATGACAAGCTACCAAATGAATTTTACTTTGACAAAGCATTATCTTCAAATGTGTTGGAAATATTATTAGAAATGTGGCATTCAAACCTGCAAAATGTTGAAATGAAACTGCCATGAAATGG